TTGAGCCTTTTATTTCTATACCCCCCCCCACCCCCGCCTTCACTTCCCGTACATACCTGATCTTCCTATAGGTGTCTGAATGATAGCACGTGTACAACACTTTTACATCTTGCTTTCCAACCCTTTTCTTTGCTACCTGTGCTTCATCTTCCGTTAAGCCACGATGTAGGCTAGAAACCTTACTGAATTCCATCCCAGGAAGAACAGACAGAAGTAATTCCTTCCTTTTCTGAGCTCATACAACCTTTTATCTAGATCTCCCTTACTGCTTGTATTGCTTAGCTAACTAACAATAGCTATTCCTTTACAGCTCTTGGTTCTCCTCTATTTCCCTAAGCTCCTAAAGATTGTCTCTTTCTTCCCCCTTAAGCTTTCCTGCCCATAGAATCGAATTCATAATTTACATGTTGAATGAGTTAACAGAAAACAACCCCATTCACAAACATAACAACTAACTTGGATGTTGATAAACGGAGTACAGCCTCTGCTTCACTTCCTTTGATTCTTGCTTGTCCTTTGATCTTCGGCCATAATACCTGGGTATGGACCCAGTGGCCCACCTATTTTGTTGTGTCTGGTTCCACTGTGGTATAATGAGCACCCTTATCCCTTCCATGTCCTCAGGCAGAATTTCTCCCCCAGATCCTGTAATGATTATGGGGGCAAGTTTAAGACCCATAGCACTGCCCTAGAGTCCTTCAACTGGCCAAGAATTGGTCAATTCTCAACCTGTGGGGCTCTAAAAACTTGGCCTGCTTCTTTGTGCTACTGGAATTTTCCAGCTACTTCTAAGGAGATTTCAGGAAACTTTGTTAACTTAGAAATGTTTTTTGGGGTGGATCTGAATCCCACTTAAACAAAAAGGATGCAAGAAATAAAACTTCATCTGTATTTTGAGTCTACATTTTTAAGGTAGAACTTCATTCCCATAAATTCCCCCTAATTGCTCTTTACTTTTAGGTTTTGGAGGGTCTTATACAATGTTGAGGCATAACGTGTCGGGGAGGCCATCTGGGTACTCATCCTTGGCTTATATCTTTGTTCCATGTGGTCTTTGGTGTTTGAGTCCCATACATTGCCCTGGAATATCCTTTGTTCTAATTTATAAGAGCAATTTAGGTTCACTAGTGCTCTCCCTCTATTCCCATTGGACCCTTGAGAGCATATAATGGGCCATGGCTAATGCAAAGGTGGTCTCAGGTCCATCAGCAAGACACTCATGCAGCCCTTGCCACTTTTATGCCTTTATTGGACTATGGAATCATTTAGCTGCTCCTGCACTAGTGGAAGCCGGAGGAACTCTCTGAGGTCATTTGAGGCACCATCTTCTTAAGACTTACCTTGCAGCCACTCTTCCCTAGGGTCTTGCCTCCTTCCAAGGTTCTGTCTGGGCATGGGGCAGATATCTACTGCTTTCAGATTCCACAGACATATCTGGGAGTTGCTGTGTCTCAGGGGTCTCTTTTGATTGGATTTCAGATATCAATCCATACATTCCTCACTTCATCTCCAATGCTTTCTCCTCCCCTCTCCCACTACTTAGTTTGGAGAATCATTTTCTATTCTAGGAGACTTATTCATCATGTGATCTTCTAAATCAATGTCTATTTTTTAATTCTCCCAAGGATATAGGCTTTGAAAATCCAAAGTATGAAGTCACTCCTGCTTCTTTGCTATTTGTTCTCACACCCCTTCCCTGAAGTAACAACAACAGAAAGACTGGGATAGTGAGAAGAGCTAAGGGAGGGGCGCCTGGGTGGCTCAGTCATTAAGAGGCTGCCTTCGGCTCAGGTCATGATCCCAGGGTCCTGGGATCGAGCCCTGCATCAGGTTCCCTGCTCAGCCAGGAACCTGCCTCTCCCTCTCCCACTCCCCCTGCTCAGGTCATGATCCCAGGGTCCTGGGATCGAGCCCTGCATCAGGTTCCCTGCTCAGCCAGGAACTTGCCTCTCCCTCTCCCACTCCCCCTGCGTGTGTTCTCTCCCTTGCTGTCTCTCTCTCTCTGTCAAATAAATAAATAAAATCTTAAAAAAAAAAAAAGAGCTAAGGGAAACAGTAGATATTGGAGGAAAAAGTTAGATAATATTTACAATTTTATCATGCCACATGATATCATACAGACATGCGAATGTCATCCCATACTGAATAGGACTACCCTACCCAAGCACTGTAGGCGCTTAGGCAGTGATCACTATTATTAACAATAGCAAGACTGTTTGGTGACAGATTACTGTTTGAGTATCTCTGTTTTCAAATTTTGAAATAATCTTGGTATTTTCTGGAGGATAACTATTTTTCATACTCTCATTTATCAATGCAATTCCAAACATTAGCACGACTTTTAGCACCTTTTTGGCCCTATCTGACCCCTACCTGCTTATCTGTTTTTCCCATATAAACTGTCCCTTCTTGAATCAACACTTCTTTTTTTAAAAAATATTTTATTTACTTATTTGACAGAGAGAGAGATCAGAAGCATGGGGAGTGGGAGAGGGAGAAGCAGGCTTCCCGCGGAGCAGGGAGCCCGATGTGGGGCTTGATCCCAGGATCCTGGGATCATGACCTGAGCTGAAGGCAGACGCTTAACGACTGAGCCACCCAGGCGCCCCTTGAATCAACACTTCTGCCCCCACCCCACCCTGGCAGCATTGTGAACAATGCAGATATTTGTTCAGAAATTCTGTTAGTGCAAATGATCATAAGCTGACATGGCAGAAGTATTTTGGGAAAGGTATGGACAAATTGAGTCAAGTCTGCATGCACTCAGAGCATGCAGTGCATAAAGGAAACCCAAGGTGGACTCTGTAAAATGAACAATCTTCTCTAATCTGTCTTGTAAAGACAATTCACCTGTTTTACAGCTTTCCTATAGTTGAAGAAACTCATATATACTTTGTCATAAGTATTCAGTAGTCTTCACTTAACTTAAAAAAAAAAAAAAAGTCCAGAAAGTAACACAGCCAAGCCTGTGATTGTTTTCTTCATATTCATTATTTCATGCTTATCGAGCTACTTGTTCTGTGAGAAATGGGATGGATCCTGTGTGTTCTCTGTTAATTGATAATGATATTGACAAGGGTTTATGTGTGAACTCTAGAAATCTTAGTGAATGCAGTGATTTTTAGCTATGTCCTGGCAGAAATCAATATTCCCCAGTAAGGCTGACATTTTACCACAAAACTCAAAGGATGATTGCCTTTTCCCACTTTGACAAAACATTAAATTAATGGTTCGAATTCTGTGTGTGTGTGAATTTATATCATATCACACACATTTATTTCATAGCAAGCACATTATCAGTTGTTTAACTTTTTCAATAAATGTGGGCAATTGATAAAGAAATTGAATTATTTTATTAATATTTATTTGCTCTGCTGCTTATATTACAAACAAATATTAATGAAATTACTGGAATAGCTCTTCATGGTTAGATTAATTGCCTGTTGTTCTCATTTTTCATAAACCCTGGCCAAAGGTTTGTGGGTTTTTTCTTTTTTTTTTTTTTAAGATTTTATTTATTTGACAGAGCACAAGCAGAGGGAGAGAGAGGAAGAAGCAGGCTCCCTGCTGAGCAAGGAGCCCAATGTGGGACTCGATCCCAGGACGCTGGGATCATGACCCGGGCGGAAGGCAGCTGCTTAACCAACTGAGCCACCCAGGCATCCCACTGGCCACTGGTTTTATAATGCAGTGATTTCCAACTCTTTTCATGGCTGGGCATATGTATACAACAATATTTTACATGGGACACTGGGGTAAGGGGCTCTCAGGAGCTTGGCTCCCCAGGGGTAAGGGGATCAGTATTATGGCACACCACTGTGCCTCAGGCACATGCCGGGAAGCTGTATTATGCTGTATCACAGACTGTTTATAGTCCTGATTTCTGCTACTAGTAACATTGTTTCCTTGACCTTATGATGGCATTAAATATTTCACTAATAATCAGTGTCCTGTTTCATATTTTCCATAAGGGCACTGCTAATCTCTAGCTGTCCCTCTACCCTAGGTTTGAGAGCCACTAGGAGATACAGTATCTAAATTCATGCACCTGTCAGGAAAGTTTCCAGTCACTCTTTGACACTTGTGAGCCTCTCCATTGGACTAGTCACTGGCTGCCTGATGGCTTCCAGTTCTCTGGCTTTGAAACATGTCCATTTAAGTCTTACAGGGAGGTCAGTTTTATAAGTGTACTCAACAGGAACACCTTGTGTAAGATGTGGAAAGAGGGGAATACACTTTATAGGATCTTTGCTGGGTGGATGACTTGGGTCTCTTCTCTCTTTGTTCCTTCTCCAACCAGATAACTTCCTACAAAGACTTAATGCAGAGCTCAGTGCCCTCAGGTTCCAAGGGGACCGGATGGCAGACTGTTTATTCTTTGCACATTTCTGAAAAGCTCCTGGTAATGTCTGAGGTGTTCTGCTTCTCAGTGCTAGGACCAGAGTTACCTCTGCTCCTGGCCTCTCACAAATTCATTTCTTGCTTCACTCTCAAAATAACAGACATGCTTAAGCAGATAAGCTGTAAAACACTTTAAAAATAATTACGGTAAATATGAAACTTCTATATCTTTTATTTGCATTTAAATAAAGTATTCTTCCTCTAGTCTTAGTATCTATTGGAACTGTGATGTGCTGATTGAGGGGAGAATAAAGGACTAAATCCTAAAATTCACAAGTCCCAGAATTACCACTTATCCAGCTAAATGTTTATGTTTGCTTAATTTCTAAGCCTTCTTGATAAAATGGGACTGATGATACCTGTCCAATGCCCCTCTCAGAGCTGATCCAAAAACTACGATCTCATGTATGAAAATACTTTGCAAATGCTAAAGGCAAAAAGTAAATATAATTTGTTACTGGATTAAAAGTGGCCAGTAAGTCCTGAAGAGTATTGGCAATTGCTTGTAATAATTCAAACACCAGGAGTTGGTGAGTGTGGCTCTGGTGAGACAAAGTTGACTCGTGTTCTCCCTCTGTGCTCCCTCCCTTGCCCTGCAGAGCAACCTGATACACAATCTGGGCCTGAGCCATCACCTGCTCGCACTGAATTTTATCATCGTTATTTTTGGCAAGAAAAGCGCGTGGTCATCCGCTCAGGTGAAGGTGACCGACACTGACTTTGACGGTGTGGAAGTCAGAGTGTTTGAGGGCTCCCCAAAGCCAGAAGAGCCTTTGAGACGCAGCATTGTTTACATCCACGGAGGAGGCTGGGCTTTGGCCAGTGCAAGTATGTCCTAGTCACCTTCGGGTCTTTTGGGGCTGTGGTTTGCCCTGGGCGAGATGTGTGATTGAGTTTGACTTCCTTACTGGGTAAGGAGAGGAGGACCATTTGACTTGGTACCCTTGAACAGTCTCGGTTACTCCTATTATCCCAGCAGAATTATTAATAGTGTCCCCTTTTCACACTCGAAAAGGTCCTGTCTTGGATGATTAATTATATGATTACCCTACATAAAGGTTTTGCCTATCTGTTTATTGCTTGTTAATGCAGGCAGACTCTTTTGAAAATATTTCCTGTGACCTATATCATAGGCTAACTTATGCGAAGTGCTGACAATAGCTTTCAGCACCAAAACAAGCCAAAGTTTCACTGGGCCAGAATATGAGGAAATTATCTTTTGCCGTTGTGTTTTGAAAACATTTTTCTGTGAAGTAGGACCAGTATTTATGAACATACATGATAACTCATCCACATTTCATCTGCTTATGAAACCAAAGATGAAAATATAAAAGGTATACCACCATTAAAAGGAAACAATGTTGCAAAATTCAAGAATATTCTCTTTGGTGTTTGGTAACTTTCATGAGTTATGAAAGGCAGGCAGCCAAGTGGAACAGCCTAGCAGAAAGCATACCAAGGAGAAAGTAAGGGCCTTATCTCTGCCTGTAATTATCAGAGAGCTACTTTCTCATGTTCAGCCCAAAGCTACTGGCATCCCCTGTGGCTTTTTTTTTTCTTTTTTATTTATTTAAGTAATCTGTCTGCTCCACGGGGGCTCAAACTCATGACCCCAAGATCAAGAGTCACATGCTCTTCCTACTGAGCCAACCAGGTGCCCTGGCATCCCCTAGGTTTAAAGGTAATGACAATTTGTTCTAGTTTGTTTGTGGGTTTTGTTTGTTTGTTTTAATATAGGCTCCACACCCAACGTGGAGCCTGATACAGGGCTTGAACTCACGACCCTGAAATCAAGACCTAAGCTGAAATCAAGAGTCCGATGCTCAACTGACTGAGCCACCCGGGCACCCCTTGTTTGTGTTTTTAAATAGCATTTTTTTAAATGTGGCAAAGGCCAAAAAAGTATAACTTTTTCTAGTAATCACGTTTCATATTCATTATTTATTATTTTATTCATGGATTTGTTCATGTTTTCAACAGATGTTTATGGAGTACGTAGGTTTGGCCAGGACTGAGGGATTTCCTGGGGTTCAGGACTTCAGTATTCGAACAGTTATGTACAAACCTATACCTGTGACTCTCCTAATATGTGCTAGGGGATGAGGATACAGAAGTGAGTAACAGAAGTGATTGCATCTATAGTATTGGACACTTGCCAAGTGAGACATTCCCGTGGAGGCCAGGAAGTGTCAGTACCAGGAATGGCATGGATTACAAATCCAGCTGGCCTTGTCCACATGATTTTGATCACTCCTGCCAGAGGAAGAGCTCAGGGTGGAGACACTATGCAGATGGTTATGTAGTTATTAAAATTGTTTCTGTCACTGCAAACCTTTGGATTCTCTTTCTAAGAAATGCTAAGATTTCCTAAAATTCTAGTTTTTATGTGTTGGCTTTAACAGAATTTGCTGTTCTTCAAATTGGAAGAATGCAATTGAATTGCAGCAAATGAAGGTATTAAGACAAAAATTTCCTCCAAGGAGGAAACTGTTTATTTGCTGTGATTTTTGGAAAGGCATACGTTTGAGGAGCTACGAAATCAGAATTAATTTGGTGCATTTCAGATAGTCTATTATGAAATACATGTCCAGTTAGTTAAAAACACGTTCAAGGGTAATCTAATGTGGATTTCTTGTTATTTTATACTAATTACATTTTATAGAAACCAGATTTAATTTTTACATTGGTATATGTAACCCTATAAATGAGACATATGTTCACATTTGCTTTTTATTAGTTTTATTATTAATATCTTAAGTCCAAGTCTAAAAGCAATCCACAATGAGCAGAATTTAAGAATGGACAGTATTAAGTAATTTGTTTAATACTGATTGTTCCTTTGTCTCTTTTAGAAATCCGGTATTATGATGAACTATGTACAGCAATGGCTGAAGAACTGAATGCTGTCATTATCTCCATTGAGTAAGTAATTAATCCTAGTCATAGAGGGCACCTGAGTGGCTTTGAGTGGCTTAGTAGGTTAAGTGTGCTGGGCATGGAGCCTGCTTAAGATCTCTCTCTCTCTCCATCTGCCTACCGCCGCACCGCTCCCACCCCCCCACCCCTCCCACCGCCTCCCTGTGCATACGCTCTCTCGAAAAGAAAAATATGGGACACCTGGGTGGCTAAGTTGGTTAAGTGTCTGCCTTCAGCTCAGGTCCTGATGGGATCAAGTCCTGAGTCAGGCTCCCTGCTCAGTGGGGAGTCTGCTTCTCGCTCTGCCCCTCCCCCTGCTCATGAGCTCTCACTCTCTCTCTCAAATAAATAAATAAAATCTTAAAAAAAAAAAGAAAAATACTAGTCATAGAAAAAATAGTTTTTAGGAAGGGATCTTAGATAACCATCTACTTACTTTATTTTACAAGCAGGAAAATACAGTGCAAAATACACAAAATACACAAAAGATGAAGGGGTTTGCCCAAGGTCACACAAAATGATTTCTGATACAATTAGCAATTTCTTGAACTAGCTTTATAGCACCTTGAATTCTCTTTTTATTTTAGTTTTGCAAACTTCTGGAAAAGGAATTAACTGAAACTAAGAAAAATATGCAATCAGTTATCTACAGCAAATAATTTTGTTTACTGCCTTTTAAAATTTAAAAAACAATCCAGAGTTGGAAAAGTCATCCCCTGCAGTTCCATTCTGTAACTCAGACCTTGTAAATAGAATGTGTTCAACAAATCTCGGTCAATGCAGTTATTGTCATCATTACTAATCATATTAAGAAGAATATGAGTAAGAATTAAAACAATTGTGGTGACGGCAATAATACAAAATCCTGCTGCCTCTTCTGCAGCAGGTGTTGTATGGGTGCTATTACATACATTGTCTCTCCTCCTTCAGATCCTTGTTCAAATATCATCCTTCTGGCAAGACCTTCCTTGATACTGCTATTTAAAATTGCAGCCCACTTTTCCTCTGTTTCATTTTTCTCCAAAACTGTCATCAACCTCTGAGAGATCATCTATTCGACTTATTAGGTATTTATTGTACTGGGTTGAAATAGACGAAGTAAGTTCTGCAGAAACAGAAAATTTTGGGATTTTGGCCTGTTTTGTTCATTGTTAATCACTGGTGCCTGGAAACATCCCTGGCAGATAGTGAGCATTCAACCAATGTTTATGGAATGAATGAATAGGACTCTTTCTTTTTGTTTTGTTTTTTTTTAAGATTTTATTTATTTATTTGACAGAGAGAGACACAGTGAGAGAGGGAACACAAGCAGGGGGAGTGGGAGAGGGAGAAGCAGGCTTCCTGTGGAGCAAGGAGCCCGATGCAGGGCTTGATCCCAAGACCCTAGGATCATGACCTGAGCCAAAGGCAGACACTTAATGACTGAGCCACCCAGGTGCCCCGAATAGGAGTCTTTCTTAATTCTCATATATATCATTCAAGATAAATATTTTTATATTTTTCTCTTAGATGAGGAAATGAGGTCACAGAGCTAGCCAGTTATATAGAGTGAGGCATTAAGCCCACATCCTGAGGCCCCTATACTCTTTGACCCAGTATCCAGCCAGTACTGAAAGACGCTGATAATGCCAAGGGACAGGGCTATGATCACATTGACCACCTTCCACACTCCGACCTTATCCAGAGCTCCTCTTCCCTCTGCCTCTCTCTGCCCACTGTTCTCCTGTTCATGGCTCATCCCCTCTGTGCGCCTGCCTCAGATCTGAGACCTAAGAGAATCCTTTCATCTGCAGTATCTCAGAAGGGCTGGTTTCCCAAGTCATTTGGGCAGCGATGACCCTTGAACATAAGACTTAGAGTCACACAGAGCAGTGTGGCACCTGCCTCTTGAGCAGATTTGCCTCCTAGAGAGCTCTGGACAGCTCCTGGCTGGCTATGGCCTCTCCACAGGCCCCCCAGATCACCGAAGGACCCGTGGTGCAGTTTTGTAATGCAGGAGCCTTCGAGTGAAGGCTTGCATCTAGCCAGGGCAGCTGGCCGGAGGAAAGCAGAGTCTGCTGAAGTAGCTGGACCCCCATATGGAGCAAGGCCATATAGTTCAGAGCTGCAGAACCAGCCTTCCAGTGGTTTCCTGTGTAGCTCTGGCTCCTCACAGGCCTGAGGACAGTAGGGAAACTGCACCTGCTTTACTTGGCACCATGAGGATTCTCCACACAGGACCTTACCATCCCGGGCTTCAATGGAAACAATGGGCAACATGTCTAAAGTCTTCCTAGATGCCCGTCTCCACCTGTGAGCATCTGTCTCCAGTAAAATAGGTGTTCTCTTAAGTCTAGGCTTATTATACAACATATAAGGATGGATGGAATGTTTTTAAGAAGATCTCTTTTAAATATGGAAGGGACTGCTTTCATCTTAACTTTCCATTCTGCCCCATCTCGGTGGTACGGTATCCACAAGTTTATCACTGGGAGGGCACCACAGTGGTAGGCAAGGACCATTACCCATGACCGCCTGACTTCAGGCAAATCATTTAATGTCATGTGCAAACTGGGCTGAGGAATCCTTCCTGTGTGTCTAGACTGTGAGCTACTGGGAAGAGAAATCCTGTCTTCCTTCCTCTGGTTCCCATCACCCAGCTGAAGACTTAGAACATATATGCTAAGTAAATATACTTTGAGTTAGGTTAATGACTGCAGAGAACTGTCATGAGAATTGGTTTGGACAACTGAGCTAAAAGGGCTTTAGATACTCTAAAGCACTAGACAAGTCTGGAGGATTAGTGCTGTAGTCCATAGAACGGGAATGGTTCAACTTACAGATTTATTTATCAGCACCTGTTTGGAGCTCACAGCTCTCTTTGCAGAAATCAAGAGTGAAAGTGGTTAGAATCTAGGCTAGCCAGCCCACAAAGAGCCACATAACCATGCATAGCCAACATCACATGATCATGGTTCTCTTGGAAAGTTATATTCAGAGGTCTACCTTGGGAACATTATTTCTTCTCACTGCTCATCTCATTCCCCTTTCTTTTATTCCAGAAATATTTATTGAAGTTGTTATGTGCCAGTTACTATGTTACACTCTGCTAACATCCCAGTGTAAGACAGACATAATTCCTGCCCTCATGGAGTTTACAGTCTAGGTGAGAAAATAAACAGTGAACAAGTAATGTTATATTGTGATAAGTGACGTGAAGTAGAAGGCTAAGTAGTACGGAGGCATCAAATAGGTAAGATCTTACCTCGTTTGAAGGGTCAGGAAATTCATCCCTTAAAGAAAGCAATGTTTGCACTGAGCTCCTAAGAATGAGCAAAATCTAGTTCGACAAAATGAGTTGGTCATGAGAGTCCAAAGTGGTGTAATGAGAGGGCTTGGAGGAAGGGAAGGAAGCAGAGAGCCCTAAGGGAACAAAACAAGAGAGAAGACAGATGGAGAGGTTCCTGGTGATGACTAAGGAAAATAAGAAAGAAAAGCAGATGATCTTGAGAGCCTTAGGAGGATGATAGACCCTTGGTTCTCCTGAAACTCTACCTTCTAGCAGGGAGCTGTCTGGGGGCAACTGCTCCTTATCCGTGAGGCGCACAGGAGTTAGATGGTGGTGGCATGGCTTAGTTCCTGTGTGGTGTGGCCCTGGGGAAGTTATAACCCGAGGAAGCTGGTAGGCAAGGGCTGGGGTCAGCCCCAGTAATGGAATCGCTCCCACGAAGCCAGTACTGGGAGCTGGCACGTCTCCATTCGTGTTGCTGGTGCTGGCTCACGCACAGTTCTGGGGACCCAGCAACTAAGGTAGATAAAGGTCTCAAGTTATAAAACTAGGCCGTGCCTCTGCTCAGTTGCTTCTATAACACCATGGTGCTTTTACATATTAATTGCACAAGTTTTCTGCACACAGCAGAAAACACATGTACCCATACACATTGTTAAATAAATGCAAAAGTTCATCTTATACTACCCAAGATACATGGATGTTTCCTCATTTATATAATCTAAGAAGGTCCTATTTTTATATTCATAAACCTATTTTCATAAATTTTAGTGCAGGTTAGCTAAACATTGCACCTTTTTACCCATAGCTTATATAATAAGACACAGTACTGGAACCATAAGACATAAGAGAAAAGAAAAATTTAAATTTTTTTTAAGATAAAATGCAAGATAATAGCAAAGTAGGCATGTTGGATATGATTAAATTCTATTTAATAAATCTATTTAATTCTATAATTAAATTCTACAAGGCATTTACGTTGCTTTTTTGGGTATGGAAAACTGTTTTAAGTTGTGTTTTGCTTTTAATTAAATCTTTACTACAGTCCAACCCTCTGTGTAGATGGAGACCTAGTCCCATTCCACCAAATGTCAGGTGGCCTTGTGCACAGAGCCCTTAATACTTTACAGAGCTATAAAGAATGTTGCTAAAGTAGACAGAAAAGAAGCTGGAGCACCTCTCTAAGTTTGCTGCTAACAGAGTTATAAGCAATGGGATTTTTATGCTTCTGTTGTTTTTAATCCGTAAAATTAGATGAGTGAAAGCTGACAAAATCACAGTGCTTTTAGGAGGCCCAATACAACACTCATCGCACGCAGTAAATAGTTGTACGAATAAGGTACTCAGAAAAGCACAGAGTGAATGGTGACCTAGCTGTGACTTTCTCTCTGTGCCTTTTCCTGCTCTTCTGAGTCATGAGCCTAGAAATCTTCATGCATCACTCCCACCAGGGCAGCCCTAGAAGGTGGGCAGACCAAATTCCTAAGCGTTCTCCTCCAAGAAAGGAAAGATTTGCTAAAAACTTTCCTTTCACTCAGCCTAGGCCAACTTCAGCAAATCTAAAGGCCAGCATCACAAATAATTTAAAACTAGAGAAAGCTAATATTGTGCTTCTTTTAAGAAGTGGCTTGTTTTGTTTTCTTCCCTGCCATTGACTAAAATGAATCTCTCCTCTTCAGACATATGCATCTAATGTCTTCCTGGCTCTGTTTTCTAGTAACATGAAAAATCCACTGGC